ATATATGCAAGAAAAAAAATAAACTTTGATCTATATCTTGCACCATAAAATTAACTCAACATGAATCATAGACCTAAATGTAAAACTTAAACCTATAAAACTTCCAGGAAAAAACTTTTGCAACTTTGATTAGGTAAAGATTTCTTAGATGTGATACCAAAACCACAATCTGTAAAAGAAAATATAGATAAATTGGATTTTTTGTTAATTTCAAAAATTCTTTTTGAAATACACTGCTAGCAAAATGAAAAGACAAATCAGATACTTGGGAGAAAATATTTGCAAACCACATATCTAAGACTTACATCATATATATATATATATATGTACATGTTTATTTAAAATTCTTAAAACTCCAAAATAAGAAAACAATGAACAAAAGATTTGAACAGACACTTCATCAAAGAAAACATATAGACAGCAAATAAAGGTGAAAAGATTTTCAACACCATTAAGTTAAAATCACAATGAGATAGCATTATAGACCTATTAGAATGGATAATTTAAAAAAAAAAAAAAAAATACACCATATCTGGTTTTAGCAAAAAATTTGGAGCAACTGAAACTCTAATACACTGATGATAGAAATGCAAAATGATTCAACTATTTTGGAAAACCATTTGAAAATTTCTTAAAAAGCAAAACATTTACATATATATAATCCATGCAACCTACTTCCAGGTATTTCCCCAAGAAAATAAAAGTATCTATTAATGTAAAGACGTGTACACAAATGTTCATGGTAAATTTATCTGTAATATCCTGTGTTACTCAGTGTTCTCTAGAGGGACAGAACTAATAGGATATATGTAAAGGGGAGTTTATTAAGTATTAACTCACATCACAAGGTCCCACAATAGGCTGTCTGCAAGCTGAGGAGCAAGGAGAGCCAGTCCGAGTTCTAAAAATGCAGAACTTGGAGTCTGATGTTTGAGGGCAGGAAGCATCCCGCATGGGAGAAAGGCTGGGAGGCTAGGCCAGTGTAGCCTTTTTACATTTTTCTGCCTGCTTTATACTGGCTGGCAGCTGATTAGATGGTACCCACCCAGATTAACAGCCTTTCCCAGGCTACTGACTCGAATGTTAATCTCCTCTGGCAACACCCTCACAGACACACCCAGGATCGATACTTTGCATCCTTCAATCCAATCAAGTTGATACTCAATATTAACCATCGCAAGCCCACCCCTTGTCAACTTGAACCCACACACATCTCCTGAGATCATACATAATCTTCAAATAAAGACAATAATAAGATCATAATTATGCTTAAGATAATACAACTATTCTTCATACAACTATCCTTCGTAAAACCAGAAATGCACCAATCCCCAACCCAAATACTATTACCTCAAGTTAACAACGCTGATAGGAAGTCAATAAATCTTATGTGGCATAATAAAGGAAAAAGAAAATGAAGATATTCTCTTAGTACAAGTGTGTACATGCATAAACTGATTTTAACAAAAGAAAGAGGAAATACTCATGACAATTACAGTCCTCATTTCTACAACTGGTCACATTGTCATAGCTGGTATTGATGACTACCTTCTTCTACTACTCATTCTGTATTGTCTTTGGCTTAAGCAAGCACCTCGACAGGTCATGGTTTTCTTCCTGGTGGAATAACCCAAATCTTCATTCCTGAAGGGTGTGGGCCATTTATAGTCCTGCCTGGACTGGGCTGTTGCAGCTTCCTATTGACTTTAATCACAGGGCGTGGTAATAATACTAAGAGATGCCCTAATGGATCTCCTGAATTCCATGCATACTCTTCCTTCCTCTGTTGTGGAATAGTACAATGATTTCATCTTGATAGTCCAGGTCAATTACCCCAGCCAACACGATTAACTCCCTTATTAGCCGGTTGACTTAAAGGTAGGAGGAACCCAAAGTGTCCAGGTGGCAATATTAACTTCCAGTTTAATGGAATCATTGTTGTGTCTCCTGGTGGCAGCATTCCTTTCTCTGGAACTAAGACCTCTAGGCCAGCATAACATAATGTTGCAGGAAAAGGAAGCAAAAATTTTGTTAGTGGATCACAAGGGGTGATGGTGAGTGATGGTGGATGGTGATGATCAAGTGGTTCTACTTCCACTTCCACCCCTTGATTCCAGGACCTGTGAATCCTGGCCATGGGAGAAACAGTACCATACATTGGATGTTGATTCAGAGCATACACAGCCTTCTGGAGAACTTTGCCCCTGCCCTGCAGAGTATTGTCACCTAGTTTACATTATAATTGTGACTTCAAAAAGCTATTCTACCATTCTATCAATCCAGCTGCTTCAGGATAATGGGGAACATGGGAGGACCAGCAAATTCCACGAGCATGAGCCCACTGCCACACTTCTTTAGCTGTAAAGTGAGTGCCTTGGTCAGAGGCAATGCTGTGTGGAATACCGGGATGCTGAATAAGGCATTACATGAGTCCACAAATGGTAGTCTTGGCAGAAGCACTGCGTGCAGGATAGGCAACCCCATATCTGGAGTAAGTATCTATTCCAATGAGGACAAAGTCCTGCACTTTCCATGATGGAAGAGGTCCACCTGCCACCAGGTAGCTGGCTGATCACCTCAAGGAATGGTGCCATATCAAGGGCTCAGAGTTGGTCTCTGGTGCTATCAAATTGGGCGCTCAGCAGTGGCAATAGTGGAGCCTATGTGTAACCTCCATCTCTGCCACTATGGCCACTTTTTTAATGGGCCCATTGGACAATGACAGGGGTGACTGGGAAAGAGGCTGTGTCTACAGAATGGGTAACCCTAGCCACTTGATTATGAAAATCCTTCTCCGCTGTGGCCACATGTTGGTGAGCACTTGCATAGGATACAAGTATCTTCACAGTTTTTGACCACTCAAAGAGGTCCATCCTCATGCCTCTTCCTCAAACTTCTTTGTCACCAATTTTCCAATCATGCTTCTTCCACATCCCTGACCATCCAGCCAAACCATTGGCTACAGCCATGTATCAGTATATAATTGCATATCTGGCCATTTCTCACTGCTCACTGAGAAGATTTCTCTTCACCCCTGTCCTTCAGCAATGTCCTAGAAAGAGGCTGTAGTGCTGTGACTCTCTACTTTTGGGTGGTGCCTGCATGTCATGCAGAACCACAGTGAACCAGGCCCCAGTCTTCTCTTTCTCTATCAACTGATCATAGGGAACTCCCCATGAGATAATTGGTGTAGGCTCAGGGAGAGAAGGCAGGGTAAGAAGTGGAGACTATGGGCATTTGAGCCATTTCCTCAAATGCATGTAGGCATGTAACTTATTTGTACCTTCAGGACCTACTCAAATCCAATCATGCATATGCCACTTCCATTTGATGATGGAATGGGGCCGTGCCTGATCCACTTTATGGACAGATGGGTCAGAAAGCACCCAGTTCATGAAAGGGAGTTCAGGCCGCATGGTGGCTTTCTTTCCCATAGTCAAACGTTCAGTTTCCACTGAAGGCCAGTAACAGGCCAAGAGCTGTCTCAAAAGGAGACTAGTTACCTGCAGAAGATGGCAGGGCCTTGCTCCAAAATCCTAGAGGCCTCCACTGTGATTTACCTATGGGGGCCTGCCAAAGGCTCCAAACAGCATCCCTATCTGCCACTGACACCTCAGGCACCATAGGATCTACTGGGTCATATGGCCCAAGTGGTAGAACAGCTTGCACAGCAGCCTGGACCTGTTGCAGAGCATTCTCCTGCTCTAGACCCCACTCAAAACTGGCAGCCTTTCAGGTCACTGGATAAATAGGATGGAGTAATACACCCAAATGAGGAATGTGTTGCCTCCAAAATTTAAATACGCCCACTAGCCATTGTGCCTCTTTCTTGGTTGTAGGAGGGGCCAAATACAGCAACTTATCCTTTACCTTAGAAGGAATATCTTGACAGGCCCCACACCAATGGACCCCTGGAAATTTTACTGAGGTAGATCCCTGAATTTTAGTTGGATTTACTTCTTATCCACTGGCATGCAAATGTCTCACAAATAAATTCAGTGTTTGCTACTTCTTGCTCACTGGATACAATCAACATAATGTCATCAATGTAATGAGCCAGTGTGGTATCTTGTGGAAGCAAAAAGTGATCAAAGTCTCTCCAACTATGATTATGACACAAAGCCAGAGTTGATATACCCCTGAGGTAGGAGAATAAAGGTATATTGCTGGCTTTGCCAGGTGAAAGCAAATTGCTTCTGGTGGGCCTTATGGACAGGAATAGAGACAAAGGCATTTGCTAAATCAATGGCTACATACCAGGTACCAGAAGATGTGTTAATTTGCTCAAGCAATAAAGCCACATCTCTTACAGTAGCTGCAATTCAAATCACCACTTGGTTAAGCTTACAATAGTCCACTCTCATTCTCTAAGATCCATCTGTCTTCTGCACTGGCCAGAGAGGAGAGTTGAATGGGGATGTGGTGGGAATCACCACCCCTGTATCTTTCAAGTCCTTGATGGTGGTACTAATCTCTGTAGTCCCTCCAGGGATGTGATCTTGTTTTTGATTTACTATTTTTCTAGGTAGAGGCAGCTCTAATTGTTTCCATTAGGCCTTTCCCACCATAATAGCCTTCACCCTACCAGTCAGGGAGCCAATATGGGGGTTCTGCCAGCTGCTAAGTATGTCTATGCCAATTATGCATTCTGGCACTGGGGAAATGACCACAGGATGAGTACAGGCACACTCTGTAAGTCAGACATGAGCTAAAATCCCATTAATTGCCCAACCTCTTGCTATTACTTTCTTTATAGCCAGTAAAGAACTCAAAAGCTCCTAGTTTAACTGGAAGACCACAATAACATTTTGGGTCCCCCAAAATCGTCAGCTCAGAGCCAATGTCTAGCAGCTCCTCAAATGTCTGATCATTTCCCTTTCCCCAGTGCACAGTTACCCTAGTAAAGGACTGGAGGTCTCCTTGGGGAAGGATGGGAGAAAGATTAACAGCATAAATTGTCAGTAGTATGGTGAGGCCCTTTCTCAAGGGAACTTGGTCTCCCCTTTATTCAAGGGGTTCTGGATCTGTAAACTGGACACACATAGGGGAACATCACACAGTGGGGCCTGTCAGGGGGCAAAGGGAGGGAAAGCATTAGGAAAAATACCTAATGCATGCAGGGCTTAAAGCCTGGATGATAGGTTGATGGGTGCAGCAAACCACCATGGCACATGTAAACCTACGTAACAAACCTGCATGTTCTGCACATGTAAACTTACGTAATGAACCTGCATGTTCTGCACATGTATCCGAGAACTTAAAGTAAAATTTAAAAAAATAAAAATAAAAACTTTACAAGATCCTGGGGGAGGAAAAATACCAGGTCAGTGGTTGACTGGGGTTGGGATGAGGCCATGAGTAGAGACAGAAGAAAAGGATACAAAAGGTCATGAGGAAAGCTCTGGGGGTAATAAAAATTTCCATTATCTTGGTTATGTTGACATTTTGTTGGTGTAAACATAGGTCAAAACTTATCAAATTGTACATTTCAAATATGCACTATTGGCATTATTGCAATTATTCCTCAAGAATGCTGATAAAAAGTTTAAATATGAAATAAGTAGAATTGATTCTTCTTTTTATACAAGAAAAATGATTGAAGTGGTGTCTTTGATGGCCCAACAAATAATCCTCAGGCAGAAATTTTGAGAAGAAACAAGATTAATTTAGAAGTACAACTAATTCCTCTTTACCAAAAGCTGGAATAGGTAAGGTTGTATCTGGGTGTTTGGAGCCTGAATGTTTATTTGAGGGTTCCTTTTCAAGAAAGAATATACAAACTTACAAATATGATATTAACTGCAAAAGTGATTATTAATATAGTACAAGAAACCAGAAAATCTTTCAAACGTAAAAAGACCAACAAAAACCACAAATAACACAAAATTAATTTAAAAATTATATTGCCTAACCACTTAATACACTGTTTTACAGCTTCATTGAAGTATAATTAAAAAATGCATCTTATAAAATAGTTGTATGTTTAATATATACAATTTGATGAGTTTGAAAATACACAGTCATGATACCATCACCACAAGCAAGGCAATAAACATACCCACTATCTCCAAAAGTTTCCTTGTGTCCCTTTGCTTTTCTGCATGTGATAACAACACTTAGTGCAAGATCTACCCTCTTTGCAAATGTTTAAGTGCACAATACCACATTATTAACTATAGGCACTGTTGTACAGCAAATCTCTAAAACTTGTTTATCTTGCATAGCTATTACTTTCTTTATACCCAGTAAATAACTCAAAAGCAGAAATAGAACAGAGGCTTCTAGAGCACGAAGAGTTGTTAATCTACTTTTTAACACTTATTTTATGCAAACGCTTTGATAACCTTTTCATAGGATGATTTTTATAACATTGTCTATAAGAAAATATAAAGATAATTCAGTCTTTCTTATACACACACACAACATACACACAGCATCAATAACTGTATATGCAGTATTATTTGTTATATTCCTGACAGGAGCTAACTTTCTGTTTCGTTTCATATTGATGAGA